AAGGGAAGGATCCCCTTTTCACTGCCCATTTACCTCCCTCTCTCCCTCTTTGCAACATGAAAGACCCACAGAAATACCCCAAAGTATGCAAAGGTCGCTCAATGCTGCAGAGGTTTTTTGAAAGACATATTCTTAAAATGGGCTAGTGAACTGAGCCAAGTGAAATTGAATTATCCAAAGAATAAATCAGCTGACAAATTATTATGGCTGCACACAAATTTTATCATGACATATTTGTTTAATTATTTAAATGTAATTATTTAAAATTATTTAAAAATTGGATCTTTCTCCCTTTTCAGTTTTTTTGCTGGGTCAGAACTAATTTGCAAAGAAAGCATCACAGTGGTTAGAGTGCAGCACTGCAGGCTACTCCAGCTGACTGCTAGCTGCAGTTCGGCAGTTCAAATCTCACCGGCTCAAGGTTGACTCAGCTTTCCAACCTTCCAAGGTCAGTAAAATGAGAACCCAGATTGTTGGGGACAATATGCTGACTCTGTAAACTGCTTAGAGAGAGAGAGTTGTAAAAGCACTATGAAGCGGTATATAAGTCTAAGTGCTATTGCTATTGTCCAACAGATATCAAGAGAAATGCAGGTGAAGGACATGAGGTTAACAATGCTTTCTTATCAGTGCTTCCCAGCAAGCAGAACTGGAAAGCATCCTGCCTCTGATTGGTGTTTTGTAAACTTAGCAACTTTCTGATATGTGGAGTTTAGCTCCTTAGCCAGCAAGCTTCTAGGAGAATTCTGGGAGTTGACATCAACACATCTTAACATTGTCAAATTTGAAAAATACTTCTATGGTTAGTGATCATCGATCAATAGTAATAATTTAACTTTTCATGAATTTGTCTAATTTCAATTTCAGTTATAACATATTGGTGCTCATGGTTGTATCTGAAGTATCAAATTCTTAGTGTTCAACCATGTGCCATGGGAACTAGTAATTCTTTTTAATTCCTGGAAGCTCCCAGCATACAATTGAAAAACTTTTAGTATTATGGGGATTGGGAGAAAGTGAAGGAGAGGAACCTCTTCCTCTTCACCATTTCCATTTTATACGGTTCTATCATGCCCTCGTTTATCATTTTTTATGCTATAAAGATTTAAATATTTTGTTCAAGGAATTGATCCAGATCTTTGATCCTTTTTATTGCCCTTTTCTGTACATCTTATAGATGTAGAAAATCCACTTTGGGAGAGGGTAATTGTTAAAACCTCTGTAATTCAGATTCTTTAACATGAACAACTTTAAAATGTGCATTATAGAATATAGAATTCATAACTTGGTGGCATTCAGCACTAGAATTATACTGCTAAGTGTGCCTTACAGACCTATTAATACATAACATGGGCCTACTTACAAAATTACCCATACAACGAAAGAACATCTGCTTATATACAAGGGGCCCAGTTAGTCAGAAGGTTAAATTCATCTTGATATGATTAGGAAAAATGCTAATAAAGTTGGTCAATGTCAACGAAAGATGTATAGAAGTCAGAAAACATGTTCTATAATAAAGTATCCAGAAAGAAGTCCTTGGTCATAAAACAGGTTTGACTTTGTAAGGAAAATTCTATTTGACACAGACAACAACTTGAAGAAAAGAGGCATGAACAAATAATAATAAACAGCTTTGTATTTTTCCAAAAGTTGCAAAATTAACAAGAGTTGATTGCAAGGTTAAGAAGCTAAATTTTATCTTCATCATGGAGTACAAGCAAGCAATGAATCCCTTTTCTTATTTCAGAAAAAAATGTCCAGCAATATTTATTTTGTGCCTTTCAGTCACTGCCCTTATTCCTGCCCCTTTCTTGGCAAAAAATTCAGAAGCGGTTCACTATTGCCTTCTTCCTAGGACTGGGAAAGAGTGACTGGCTCACAGTCATCCTGGTTTTATGCCTAAAACAGGACTACAAGTCATAGGCTCCTGGTTTCTAACCTGGCATCTGAAGTTGCTCTTTTCAAAGCAAAACAAGCAAACAAAACACACAAACATGCTACATTATGCATTGGACATGATACAATATACTTCCTTCTAAATATCCAACTGACCCCAACAAGAGCTAATAACCTCTAGAAGAGTTAACATTCCTAATAGGTTAGTAATAACTGGTTCATACAACCTCTGAAACAGTATCAGCTATCCTATTGCCTTTCTTCTTCTCCCTTCAACTAATCCTTTAAAATTAGCTGGTGCCTTAAATGAATGGTGCCAAACTGCATAATACACGATTCAAACAGTAGCTGCAAAGTTGCATTAATATGCCATGCAAATTTAATTCCTAGAAGCTAACTATGATTAAAATAAGAAAACTATTTAGAGATCTGCTTTATACAAAAGTTTACCCAATGCAGAACAGCACCCATTATTTGGGTTTTCTGAGCTACTCCAATTCTGTGAGAGAATAGTATATGCATATGTCAGCGCCATTGATCCTACAACATTTTTTGAATTGACTGTCTAGCTTCACTTTACAGAGGCTTTTAAAGTGTGATTTTGATTCAAAGAGATTCAATGAATGGATGAATAAATAAAAATGGATCATGTAAGACCACCTTTCACGAGCAAATTACATATAATCATTACATGCTCCAAAAGGTCAAGTTGAACACTAAATACATAGTTCAATATTTATGAGTAGTACTTATCTGGAAATCAAATAGCAACCACAAATTCAATGTTCTTGAAACCATTACTTCTACTGAGAAGTTATAGTCTCAACAGTGCAATGAAGTTTATGAAGCAATGTTTGTATCACATATTTATTTATTTATCAAATTTGTACAGCCGCGACTCACCCAAAATGACATATAACCAACAACAATGCTCTCTCTTAAGTAAATTATGCCAACCCTGTACTTATGTTCACTGTTTCATTAGCTGTTAAATATTGTAAAAATCAAGATTTATACAGGAAGCAGCAATACATTTTGTGGATTATAACATTTTAGATAACACTTTATCCCATTCAAAATCATTATGAAAATCAATTATTCTAAAAGTCAGTAATACTTATAATGTAGAATTCTGGAAAAGCTAATCAGGCTTGCTCTGTAATCTAAAAATGTAATTCAAAGTATTATATTTCTAGCATTTTAGGGAACCTTCTCTCATTTGCAAAAAAATATTTTTTTTCCTCATTACATAGTTCTTGATACAATATGTAAAAAACCAGCACGTCCAATCTCTAATTATGTATAAAATTATGTAAACGCTTAAAAGAGATGCTGCATGTTCATCTTGAAGTCAAGCATTGCAACAATAAAAGTATTAGTCTAATAATGCCATGCCTGCCAAAGTCTCAGAAAGCACTACTACAATAATGTACTTCCCTCCGTAATCTGAAACCAAAAGCCCCGTGGTTCTAAGACACAGAAAGTGATACGTTTAAAGGTATATTAGTTATAAAGTTAGAAACCAAGCCATATCCCTAATAAACAATTACTCAACATCGCTAGTGGCTTGCCTGTGTTCGGCACAAAATAGAATTTTAAAAGTGAGAGACAGAAACAAAGTGAGTGAGCAGTTGGAGGGTAAGTGCATCACAGACAACAGAAATCATGACACCCCCCCCCATTTTTCAAAGTTCTATTTTCTGTATTCCTTCTGATCTTTCTTCTATGTTTTTTTTTCTTTCAGAAAAAAAACTTTCAAACAAGCTCACTCCATGTCCAGAGTTGGCTTTTTTTGGCACTCTGCGATCCACTCTTACCCTTATTGTTACTACAAGAACAGTTAATAACGTCAGAACAATGCACACATTACTTAAAAGCCACAAGCATCGCTTTCCCCTAATTAGACAATGACTGTTAACAGAACCTCTTTGCATCAGAGGTCCTCTTGAATCCCAGTCTCATTTACAGGCGCCTTCGCAAAGCCCAGCAAGTACAAAACATCGAATGACGTGCACTCCAAAAGCGCCAAGGAGCGTTTCTGCACAACCCAGCGTCAATTAAGAGAAGACGGGATAGGAAACTTGAAGGAGAAAAGCAGAACTCGCCACTCCGGGCTTGCTCACTAAATCTAAGGGGGAGGGAAGCGGGAAGGGAAGGGGGGGACAAATGCTGTGACAAAAACCCGCTGTCTTTCCACCCTTAGGCGAATCGTAAATAGAAAGAGGCCAAAAGAAAAGCAGAAAGGGAAAGTCGGCAAGGGATAAATCCCTCTCAAAAGCGGGATTATCTACCGGAGGAATCTTTCACTCACTCAGTAGCCGCAGCCCCCAAGGCCCATCGCGGTCGCCGATCTCCTCCTCGTCCAGGCTATCTGGGAACAAGCAACCTCTAAAAGCCTCCTAATCGCCGGTTTAGAAGACGGAAGGGCGGATGGGACGGGGGGGGGGAGGAGGGCAGGCAAATTAACTCAGCCTCTTCCAGCCCGGGGATGCCGCGCTAAGAGGACCGTTCCTTGTACCCGTCGCCCCAAACAGGGCAGTGCCCAAGTTTTGCTCTTGCAATCCAGCTCCGGCCGGGCACCATCCAAAGATGCAAGAGGGGGAGGAAAAAAAAGTTGTTCAACAGCAAAAACCCGAAAAGCTGCAGCGCCGGAACCTCTCTCGGCCGGGGAGGGAGCCGACGAGAAAAGGCGCACGTTCCCAAGAAGACAAAGCGGGGGAAGCAAGAAGAGGCAGGTGCCCGGCGGGAAACCCGGACGCGGCGCGGTCCAGAGAAAAAAGAAAAAAAGGCACCGGGAGGGGACAGGAGAGGAAAGGAAAGGAAAGACCAGCAAGAAGCTGCCCGGAGGGCTGGATCGAGCGGGGGAGGGGGGAGTAGAGAACAACCAAGCCCCACCATCAGGACGAGGACGAAAAACACGGGAGTCGACTAGGAGTCCGGAGTCCGGAAAGAAGCGGCGAGATGGCCCGCGGAGCAAAGGGGAAGAGCCGCCGCCGCCTGCCTGGCCCCGGCGAGGAGCCGGAGCCCTGGGCGCAACTTGTCCTCAGCTGAGCTCGCGGGGGGGGGGGGACTCTCTTCTGCCGCCCTCTCCAGCTACTCACCGCCCGGCCCGCTGCTGCCTCTCCGGTCGCCTTCTCCAACTGTTCGACGACCACCTCCGGGGCTTTTTTCCCCCCGGATTGGAGTAGACGGCCGCGATTGCTGCCTTTCTGACGCCGAGCCAAGAGCCAGGGCCCACCCCCGAGCTGCCGAGGCCCGCCCCGAGCCCTCCCACTGCCAGCTCGCCGCTCCGCCTCTCCCAAATCCAAATATGTACACCGGCGCCGGCCCTGCTTTCCCTGCCTGCTGGGAGGGGGATGTTTGTTTTTGCTCAGCCTCCGCCGCCTTTGCGAAGAGGCTTCGAGTGCCATTGGAGGCCAAGGCGAGGTCTGAGAGGCCGGGCGCGGCGTCGGCGGAGGAGGGGAAATCTCCTCGCTTTACAGGGCAAAGGAAGCGGCTCCCCCCGGTCTCGACGAGAGCGAGAGGACGGGAACGAAACGGGGACCTCCAAAGAGCTTTTCTGAAACGAGCCCTTGACAGATGTGCACGCCCGGACGGGATGAGTGGGTACCATGTCAGGGGCAGCAAGAGAGACTTTTGCAAGACCTCCTCTGAAACTACACTTGATTGTAGCTTCGTGTACACACGCGGCCACTTGTCACGCACGTAGGTGCTACTACTAACTCCTTGGAGCGATTGTTGTCTGTGTGAGTAGATATGTCTGTATGAGTCAACGTGGCCAGGTGGCAGTAGCTCTTGCCGGTACAGGTACAAAGCGAATTTTAGCTAAAGAATAAAACTGAACTAGGTCAGACCCTGTGGTGAATTATTTTCATTCTTTCTTTCCATCTTGAAGTTATAGCGAAAATCACATTCTTTGAACATCTATTTGCCAAACTGAGACATTCTCCACCAGGGTATCATCCCCTCCCAGCCTATTTTGATAAATCTCCCCCCCTCCCTCCCCGCTTTTTTACACAGACATTTAGATAGGACCTCTGAGCAACAGTAGGAAAACCAGGTTGATGAGAGGCTTTAAAGCTTAGCTTCCAACTTGCTGGGTAAGTACGAGGGTATTTTACCGCAGTGTAATTTGCCTTTTTCTGTGAATGACAGTTTCACAGTAAACTGGTAGGCAGAGTGTTTCCAGGCATTCCCGTAGCCAAGAAATAGACAATGCGGCCAACACTCAAGTGAGCCACTTTATATACTGCACTGGCAAGAACAAACTCTTGGGGAATTTATACATACAAATAGTACAGTAGTTCTGGCACAGATGTATTCCTCCTAGTACTTCTGTCTTTGAAAATTCTCAAGGTTCTGTTAAGAGTCCCTTCCCAAATGTGTCTAGCTGTGTGCGCTGCAGCTGCTGAAAAAGAAACCATTGAAAATGTCTAATTCGGGACTTAATCTAGAGAACTGTATGGCTTTCATTTCAAACAATGCCTCCATAATGATTCGCCATCAGAATGGAGTTACTAAAATTGTGCACAGAAAATGAAGTGGTATGAAAATTAGCAATTTTGACTATGCAGGCATTTTATAGAGCCACGCAATGTATTTTGAATTTGAAATGTTTTCAGTTGCTCTGAATGTGAAGTGGTAGAAATGTCCTGTGCTCACATGGTAAAACAGTGCTTCCTTGCAAGACTGTGGGATTCCATATACTCAGCCCTTGCCTCAGTGTTGTTTTTTAACATCTGCATGAAGTTCCTGGAGAGGTCATCCATCAGTTTGGTACTCAATTGGGTCACACCAGGCCAAACTGTAGAAGTTCACTTCTGATGCTACTTGGTCCCGTGGGGGTCAGAATAAGCAAAGTCAAAGGTTGACTCAGCCTTCCATTTTTCTGAGGTAAAATGAGGACCCAGGTTGTTGATGTAATATGCTGACTTTGTAAACCACTTAGAGAGTGCTGTAAAACATTATGAAGAGGTATATAAGTCTAAGTGCTATTGCTATTAGATTCCTGCAAGACTTAATTGCTCTTTTTCACTGACTGATCCGTTTTGATCCCAGCTCTAACATTGAATAGGGTCCACTTCATCTGAAGAAGTAGATCTACAATCTCCTGGAGTGCATCATATGGAAGCCTTAGAAAGGGAGATCTTTATTTAGGTCCATCTGGTATGCTAATTTCAGGGCTTTTGGAGATTAAGGTGCTCTGGCAACAGTGACTCATGTCTTGGCACTTTGCATATAGACTACTACAGTAATACACTACTCAAAGGGCTGCCTTTAAAATTATTTAGAAGTTTCAAATCATCCATCTGCTAACTGGAACTAGTCGATTCAACACTCTTATTCTGTGGGCCCTATATCGGCTTTAGATTTGCTTCCAGTCCAGTTCAAAGACTTGGTCATCACTTTTAAAGATGTTCATGCTTGGTACTTAGGATTTTTGGGATCTTATTTCTCACTCAAACAGCCTGTCACATACAATTACTAAGGAAATTATGCTGAGGTTCCTACCTGAGGAGAGGTGAGAACTGACATTGGCTTCTCAAGGGCTGCCACACTCTTCCCTGACCCAAGATTAGGAATGCTTTAAAAATATTATTGCTCTTCGTGGCATTGCAACACTGATGGAATAAAGGTTGGTTGGGTTAATTAAATGAGGCATGATTTTGTACTAATCGTACAAAATATGACTGTAAATTACCTTGAATCCTTGCTCAAGTGGGCAGTCTATAAAAATCCGTTTAAATAAATAAAATCAAAGGAATACCAAATCCTGCCAGTAGAATTCTATGGCAAAGAAATAAGAAAAAGTGAAATTACCAGAATAAAACAACAGGAAGTTGTGAAAAACAAAAAGGCAACTGACTTTCTGGTTTGCTTAAATTAGAACATTGGCAGTTAGAAGGCTGGTTGGTGTTTATTGGTACATATTTAAGTAACTTGTGTTAGAATAATATGTTTTTTCCCCATTCTGTTTAGGACAATATAAATTTTCACATTTGAAGGGGGAAATGTAATTTGGAATTCCACTAGCCTCTCTCCCCCAATACAGAGATGTTTTAAGGCATTTCTGGTAGGTGCTATATGCATGTCCAAAGCAATGCACAAACCCAATAGCTTATATTGCAACAACATCAAAATATCTTTTCCTTTCCTAAATGGAGCTGCTAAACCAAAGATAGGATTTATAACATTGATCTAACATTGTTCCTAACAATAAAATTTAGATTTAAGCACATGCATGAATTACTTGGTTCTTTCATTCACTGGTTGATTTGCTAATTGCGAACTGTGAATAAATCACAGTTGGTTGGGTCAGCATAACATACTAAGCTACAGACTAACAAGCCACAATTTGGCTTTCAAATAACCTTTGTGAAGGCCACTATGTAAATTGTTTAAATAAATAAATTACTAAATCACTAAAGAGGCTAATAGTTATTATTATAAATAATAATCTCTACCTTTCTGAGCCATTGTTTAACCAGTATATTTTCCCAGAATTAAACGAGGAACTGGTCACTATCAAACTAACAGGTTTTTTCCTCTTTCGTGAATGCTAGATAAAACCTATTTGTGATTACTCCTACCTACCTATCATCTTTTGGATTTTATTGCTTTTTTTATTATTCTCTGTTTTTGTAACATACAGCTTGATAATGTATTTGAAAGAACCTAAGCCAGTTGAGTGTAGTGGTTAAGGCATCAGACTGGAAGGCAGAAAACCGTGATTCTAGTTCTGTCTTATTTACAAAATCATCTGCATATCCGTGGGCTACTCACTCTCTCAGGCCTAGAAAGAAGATAATAATAAAAATTATTTTTTGAAATCTTGCTAAGAAAACTACAAAGACTAGTCTAGGCAATGACCAGGAGTCATTGCTGACTCAAAGGCACCAAAAACACCTAACCAATCTGTATCATTTTAGTTGTTTAGATTCACGGTCTCCTGGTATCTAGCCTTCTGCTTTAACCCCTACCCCTGGTGGCAAACCTATGGCATGTGTGCCAGAGGTGGCGTGCAGAGCCCTTTCTGTGGGCACACATGCCATCACTTCAGCACAGTAAGCCATAGGGCAGGTGTCGGCAAGCTGCGGATTTTTTCATCTCTCCACTGTGGCTCTCTGTCAGGTGATCCCACCACTGGCTGGCCCTGCCCTCCCCTCCCCATCACCCCAAAGGAGTCTTTTGTCAACTCGCAAAGCATCCCTGACCTGCTTTCAAGTTGCCCTAAGCAAGGGGGATGGGAAAACGAATTCTGCAGCTATGGCGAGGCAGCATGTAAGTCAAAACAAAAGCACATTCTAGCCATATCTCTCTCAAAACTGTCTCTGCAGTTACCCACAATGGCCGGAGGGGAGTGATCTCTACAACCCACGAAATTGTTTTGTTGGACAATGTGACTGAAGACACACCTTGGGGGGAGTGGATAAACAGGATCAGAGCTGGAATGTAAATTATGTGGGGTCAGAGTTGGCTTCACTTGGAACATGCCGACATGAAGCTCCTAATAAATAACTGGATTTCTTTTGAAGCTTGGCTCAAGGCTCGTGATTTAATTAGGGCATCAGTCAGAACCCTGATATCTTTGATGGCTGAATGCCGAGAGCACGGATTTCCTCCACTTCTGCGTTCCCACGCTGAAACAAACCAAATGGGCCCACCGAGCCCGCTTGCAAACTCCACTGAACGTGGCTCCAAAAGTTGGGCTCGTGCGTCCCTCTCGGCTAGCGCCAGCACCACAGTGGCAGCAGGGAAGGTGCGTGCCCTACCTGCTCCGCTCTCACCAGCCAGAGGTGGGGCTCCATGCCGCTTCCTCCCAGCTGGAATGCCATGTTTGTTTGCTTGCTGGTTGCTTCTGAGGAGGGAGCTGTGCTCAGGCCACCTGGGCCCCCACTGTGGGGGCAGAGAGGGAAAGTGAAGGGTGTGTGTGTCCCCAAAGGATCCAGGTTGGAGTTGCCTTATTTTGCCTGGATCTCTAATGCTTGGCTTTGCCTGCCAGCCTCCACTCCCCTTCCACAGCCCAAGTGGTTGGATTCACACAACACGTGAAGCTGGGGAAGACAGCTTCACAGATGGATAGATGGATGGATGGATGGATGGATGGATGGGTAGATAAATAGATAGATAAATAGATAGATAGATGGATGGATGGATGGGAGAGGGAGAGGGAAAAAGGAAGAAAGGGGGAAAGAGAGAAAGACAAAGAGAGAGAGGAGAAGGAGGGAGGGAG